TTACCTGCGAAAGTCACAGGAAAGTTCTCAATCAGAATTGTTCCAAACCAAGATCCTAAACGCGTCGATGGATTAGTCGAAGAATACTTGAAAGCCAAATTTGCGGAATTGGGTAGTAAAAACAACCTTTCTGTGGAGTGTTCACATAGTGCTAAGCCATGGGTTGCAAACTCTAATCATTGGAATTATGGTATTTTTGTTTTTGTTTTCTACGTATGAATTTACTATGTTATATATACTAATGAATTTATTATTGTTAAACGAATAGTTGCTGCTTCCAAAGCTGTTGAAAGAGTTTTCAAATGCAAACCTGATTTGACACATGAAGGTGGTTCTATTCCTGTTACTTTAACTTTTCAAGATGCTTTGAAAAAAAATGTTTTATTACTTCCAATGGGTCGTGGTGATGACGTATGCATTAATTATACTGTATTATTAGTTTGTATTTTATTGTGAAATTATTTAATTTTTATTTGTTATATTTAATTGTTTAGGGTGCACACTCAATTAACGAAAAACTTGATCGTTCAAATTATATTCAAGGAATTAAGTTATTTGGAGTATATTTACATGAAATTGCTTCTTGTAAAGCTGAATAAATTAAATATAATCGTTTATATCTAGAAATTAACAATATATATTAGGATGCTAGTCAATATATATTAGGATACTAGTTCTTTTTTTTTGTGTATATTTGTTTTTCATTTTACATTTTATGTATTGTTCGAGTTTACGGTAAGTTCAAAGTAGATACAGATAATTTATTGATCTATGCTCATATAGATCTATATTTCAATTAATTATCAAAGGAGAAATTGTCGAGTTCGAAAGATTATTAAAGATTACTATATTCAGATTTACCGTAGTTTGTTTAAACCCGAAAAGTTCATATGATTTAATATTATCAGATTAATATACACGACAATTTTTATGGAAAATTATAAGCAAAATTAAATCATTACAACTATATCATATTCAATAGCAGTTAAATCACCAGTCTAAAAAATTTCGCTAATCACGTGACATTAATTTCACGGGATCTTCGATAATGGGATCATTGCAAATTAACCGATGAAATTTTAACTGTTATCCTTTGCTTCGCAAAGGATAGTTGATGCTT